AATATTTTAGTTGAGCCACTCTTCCCCCGGGATGGTAAGGGTTGACTTTAGAGACGTTAAACATATCCACCCCAAACCCCTAGAAAGCCCGGCCCGGTTGCTGCGTGATGTCCCTGCCATCACCAAAAAGCACTGCAAATATGATATGACATGCTAAACTCAAATGAAAAAAAAACCCAGCCTACTTCAAACCAATAACTTGTCTGAATGGTTCCAAATGGACCTGACAAATAATCTTAAGAAGGGGTACTGAGCACGATAAACTAAAATTTGAAAACAGTTTGCTTATGTGTGATACTTGACTAATTATTACAATAATTGAAGACCACTTTAGATCTGTAATGTATTGTTATACTGTGTCATTAAAGTGTTGTGAAGTTGCAAAAACAATTTAAAACAAACAGCTATAAATGAGAAAACCAGGAAGTAAGATTGTAGCGACCCAGAACGATATTTATAAACGATCTCATAAAAAGATTATTATGTCTTGATATTGCTATTAATTTCAATAATTGTAATCGGTTATATGCGCCAGATTCAATTGACAATACAAAATATTATTCGACGTATTTTTTTTTCACATTTTACTCCTTGGGACACTTGACTTTCCTGAGGAAGGGGCAGATACCAAAAGAAGATAATGCTTAAACAAAAATGTCTCAAATGGTTTACAATGCTGATCTCGTAATAACAGTCTCGGCTGCATTTCTCACAGCAGAATCTTAAATCCTAGATAGATTTGGCTTTCCGTATTGTTCGTTTAGTTTCAAGGACTTAGTTTCATACATCTCTTGCAAATTTGACTTGATCATAAACTTCTGTTTGCCATCTGTAAAGTTGCAACGTGATGATCTCACATTTGTTATTTCTATGTTTTTAGTCCACATGCTCCTTTGCAAACGTCGTAAAAGAGCGGCCCTCCAATGAGTCATGTCATCTATCAATGCAGCAGATCTTTTTTAGAATATGGCCTTCCACCATTATCCTGAAATTGCCTTTCTAGCAATTGCGCTACTTGCTCAGCGCTGAAAATATGCAATACATGTGTGCACGTTCCAAGACCTCTGTGGGAGTTAACTAGTCCTACCATCTTAAATGAGGAAAACGCGATGTAGACATCTTTGATGGAAGCTGTGGGGCTGCCTCTCTTGACTGGCATACTTGCTTCACACTTCACAGCCAAAGTAGCTTATTAAGCACACATTCCTGATAGATGCTCAGTTTCAGATTATTCAACACCCGCTTATTTAAGCTCGGCGATAACTGTTTATGCTTTTAAGAACCTTGTGTTTACGTCTTTGTAACAGTGTGTAAAACTAAAGATTGTCGATCCAAGTTATGTAAAATGCTTAGCATCCGATATATTATAATCGTTAACTTTTTATGTAGATTAATGAAAAGACCAATCGCTTTACATGCATTTAAGAGGTGATTAACTAGCCGCTGAAGACATTCTGCTGTGTGCTATGTAAAATCGGCATCGTCAGCAACAAATATTTTTTTTTACCTTGGTATTTGCATAAATAATTTCAATGTTTAAGAGCCTACCATCATTACTGTTATGGATGTATACACCACCTTCACAGTCTTTAAAGGTACAGTGTAGGTCATAAACAAGAAAAGCATAAGTGATTTCATGTACATCTAAAACCTTGTTTTACAACGTGGCTTACTGGGAATGTCTTAGAGGCCGACACATTTAAGGTTACTGGGCAATGAATTTTTTTTTTTTTTGAAATAACTGTATGATTATAAGCTGGCATATGGACAAATGATACTATTTATGATACTGCAAAAGCCTTTTTGTTGTCAGTAATGAGACCATGTATGGCTTTTTTGCTGTGAAGCTAGATAATGGTGTCAGTAATACGACCATGTGTGGCTGTGTTGCAGTGAAGTAACTCACTGGTGTCAGTAAAGAGACCAAGTATGGCTAGGTTGCAATGAAGTTAGACATTGGTGTCAGCAAGGAGACCATATATGGATATGTTGTAGTGAAGTTAGATACTGGAGTCAGTAATGAGACCATGCATGGCTGTGTTGTAGTGAAGTTAAATAAGGGTGCCAGTAATGAGACCATGTATGGCTGTGTTGTGAAGTTAGACAATGGTGTCAGTAAAGAGACTAAGTATGACCCTGTTGTTGTGAAGATAAATGTCATAGTTAAACAGAAAGAACCTGCAGAGTAAACTCTTTACTCTTACTATTTACGAAAACATGTGAATTAACCTGAATGCCTTAAGGTTGTCTCTGCATGAAAAGCGCTGTCAGTTAGTGGCATATGTTACTTAGAATAAATTAGACAATTATGAAATTTCTGTAGAGAGAAGAGTAAAGTTTAAGAAGAAAATGACGTTGCTCTTTCGGACAAGCCTGCGTGTCTCAGCTGTGGTTATTCTATTAGCTTCATGGGATTTAGCCCCCTTCTTGACAGCAGCTCTCCACCTGGCTCTGTCCTGAGCTGTCTGCACCCATTGAGTAGGGTTTATGCTGAAGGCCTTTAGTGCCACTTTCAGTGAGTCTTTGTAACGCTTTTTTGGCCTCCTTGGGAGCGCTTGCCTATCGTGAGTTCTCCGAAGAATAATTGTTTCGGGAGCTGGTGGTCTGCCATACGGGCTACATGTCCCATCCAACGTAGTTGAGACAGCATCAGAGTGGTGAAGATACTAGGTAGGTTCGCTCTAGCGAGGACCTCGGTGTCGGGGACTTTGTCTTGCCACCTGATGTCGAGGAGTTTCCTGAGGCAGGTAGGGTGAAAATGATTCAGTTTCTTGGCGTGACGCTGGTAGACTGTCCACGTTTCACATCCATAGAGCAGTGTCGGGAGGACTGCTGCGCTATAGACCTTGAGCTTTGTTTCTCGTCTGATACCTCTCCTGTCCCAAACAGTGCTGCGGAGCCTGCCAAATAGGGCACTAGCTTTTGCGAGTCTGCCATTCATTTCATCATCCATGACGACAGATCTAGAGAGGGTGCTGCCCAAGTAAGTAAATTTATCCACGGGGTTGAGACGCTGTCCACTGATGATGATGTTGTGTTCAACGTAGGGCTTAGTGGGAGCTGGCTGATACATCACCTCAGTCTTCTTTGTGTTGATTGTGAGGCCAAAGTTATTGCAGGCCTCAGAGAAGATATCAACGCTATGTTGCATGACGGCTTCTGATGGAGCGTTGAGGGCACAATCGTCTGCAAACAGAAGCTCGTTGATCGTGGTGTGTTTGACCTTGGTTTTAGCTTGAAGCCTCCTAAGGTTAAATACTGATCCATCAGTACGAAACCGGATTGGAAAGCCCGTGGTGGAGTCCTTAAACGCATCAGACAGCATTGCGGAATACATAATACTGAAGAGTGTGGGAGCAAGAACACAACCCTGCTTTACACCGTTTGTGACGGGGAATGCTTGAGATGATTGACTGTTGTCCTGCACTCCGGCCATCATACCATCATGCAGCTGACGGATGATGTTGGTGAACTTGTCTGGGCATCCGTATTTCTTCATGATTTTCCACAATGTATTAGTAATAAGTTAGCAACTATTTAAGTTTGTCCAGTTTCAAAACTCTGAGACCTTCCTTTAGTTAGTAAGTTCCGTATTTCCAAAACAGTTGAAATTTTAGCCAGCTCCTTAATTTGTAGACATTTTAATCTGCCAACATATTATAGTTCTTGGGTGACCCATATAATCTAGTTTACGGGTACTGGGGTAAATAAAAGAGGATTTAGCCGTTTTAAATTTTATGTTTGGCTAAAATTCTTAATGAAATGTATAGTAATGGGATTTCTGAGATGAAATGGACTTCTTCACTTTAGATGATCTGACTAATTTCTCTTGTCTCCCAACAGATACCGTGGCATTGATGAGAATCATGTTTTAGTCAGGTGGTTTTGGGCAGTCCTGGACAGTTTCACCAATGAGGAGCGCATCCAGTTTTTGAGATTCATTTCTGGGAGAACCAGGTTGCCTAGCAACCCTGCAGATATAACCCAGAGATTTCAGATAATGACTTCGGACAGAGTAAGATTTTAGCTCTATAATAATTAATAAAAATGTCATAAATTAGGTAAAATTCATTTTAAACTCTGAAATTAATATAATAAATAGCTTTTCAATATTGGCAAATCAGTCTGATAAACAAGACATTTGCTTAGGCTGCGGTTCCACTGCTCTCGAATTTTGCTGATGTCTAAGGCTGACATACAGCATCAAATTCAGTAGAAAAAACAAATGTAATAACAAAATGAAGTGGTTTACGTTAGCTCAGACAACATCGGTGACAGTGGGTGGTTCTCGGAAGTGCACCAGTGACCGTCTTTCTCATCATTATTGTCTGATCGAAGCTTCGAAACAAACAAAATTTTAAATGGTGACCAGAATCAAGTGTTCATTCCCGAATTTTATAGCAGATCCTAAATTGTATTTATAGCTACAAATCATAATTTTAATTTGTAGGAAAATGTATTAGTTCGGGTAGCCATTAAATAGTTACTTTGTTTAGTTTGTGACCATAAATCAGGTTAGGTGATATAGTCATAAAGGTCAAGGTTGTTGTTATTATAAATAATGAAGATTGGGATGCAATCTAACCACAATGTTGATGAATTTCTCTATCGAAAGATTCGTCTTCTATGTCTAGTATAATCGCTTGAGTCACTGTATTGTAAACTTATTATAGACCCACACTGCTATGACTATTACTCTATATTATTAGTCTTAACTATGAGTACCGGTAGTTTATTTTCTGCTATATTATTAATCTTAACTATGAGTACCCGAAGTTTATTTACTGTGCAGATTGTGTATTGGTAAGCTTGATAGTTTTGATGGTCTATGATTTATTAAAATATGAGAATGATGTTACTCTTAGCATTTTTTTAAGCTTTTACTTACGCAAGACCAAATTTAATGTATAAAATAGCAGTTTCCTCCAGCAGTCTGATTGGAATAAAGCACACATCTTTGATTTCAGGGTAGGGACAGCTTGCCCACATCGCAAACATGCTTTTTCCAGCTGCGGCTCCCAGCATACAGCAGCCAAGCAGCAATGGCCAGCAAGCTGCGCTATGCCATCAACCACTGCCGCTCCATCGATATGGACAACTACATGTTGGTCCGCAACACAGAGACTAGCCAAGACTCGGACGATGATGTTGTCTAGTGGTAGGGGGGGACCACCTTTTCCCACATTCTCTGCATTCCTCCATTTATTTGTGCCCTGCTTCAGTGGTCAATAGGACGTCCCATCAAGAATTGCTGATGCTTACAGTTGTTTAATACTCAACAGACCAGTTTCATGTGTTAAGCATTCCTGTTTTTCTTTACTTGCCTTCAATCAGTGTTTTGCCGTCAAAGAGTCACCTTTCATGACTGTGATGTTTTTTAACAGTTCAATAAAATATTTATTAATGTGAAATGATCCCTGACATATATGTGTGCACATTCTGTAAGTTTAAGTATCATTGCAGTTTGAGACAGTCCAAATGTAAGAAGGCTAGTTTTATCAGTTCCATTCCAGTTTATTAGAATACTATGTAAATAAGATTAAACTAATTGTCCAGAGATTTAGGTATCTGTGTAAATTATATCAAGTAGAATGAATTAGATCATTTCTCCTATCAAGTTCATGTATAACAAAATATGAGGAAGTCATTGTAAACATCTCTCTATAGTAAATGACCATGTGTACAATCACAATACAGCAGTATTATTTGTGTATTTGAGTTCATACACAATAAACCTACTGTGATCATAGCACTCCACTAGTTATATAATCAAATCTGTCAACATATTATATATGAACATTCATTTATTAAAAAAAAATATCATTTTCTAGTTGCAATATGCCTTGTTTTATTTGAAAAGTTGTAGAAGAAATCTTTTATCCAAATGATGGATTGAATGAATAAATTCTGATTAGATATTGAATATGTTTTTGTTTGGAACCTGTAGCTGCTGTGTTAGGACACAGGAACAATAAACCATTTCTTGCTCTCAATTTGTTTTACAGCCTTTTGTATTACTGAAGGGAAGAATCCAGTCATGACACTTTAATGCAGTGGTTCTCAACCTTCCTAATGCCACGACCCCTTTTTACAGTTCCTCATGTTGTGGCGACCCCCAAACCACAAACTTATTTCCCTTGCTACTTCATAACTGTAGTGAATATGTGTTTTCCGATGGTCTTCCGCTACCCCTGGGAAAGGGTCATTCGACCCCCAAAGGGGTCGCGACCCACAGGTTGAGAACCGATGCTTTAATAGCGTTTATTTTTATTACAATTTTTTTAATTAATTTATTGAAAACTCTTAATTTTGTTTGGAAACCTATAATTATTTTATAATTTTTCTTTACCTGTTAAATGTTAATCTTTTATTTTATAACTTTTCTTTACCTGTTAAATGTTAATCTTTTATTTTATAATTTTTCTTTACCTGTTAAATGTTAATCTTTTATTTTATAACTTTTCTTTACCTGTTAAACATTTTTTAAATTTTATTATTACTTTTCTTTACCAGAAAAAGAATTGCAATATTTCCTAGTATGACATTGTCATTGTTAATAACCCAAAAGCAAAGAGGGTGTTTATGATAAGACCTTTTACTCTTTGTAAACAGTAGGACAAAATGAATGCAAGGGAGGTCAAAGAAAGAGGTGCAAGAAAACTGTCTATATTTGTAGAAAATTAAGCAGTTATTAAACTTGTAATGAAGTATAAAAGCAGAGTTATTTACAAAGCTTGAGAAAATGGGGGAAGTCCCTTCAGAATTCATAAACATTACCACTCATTATTCTCAAACATAAATAAAAGCAGCTTCAAGAAGCTAAAATAACTAAAAATGTATGGCTTTGAGACAATCCAAGGTCTTGCTATGAAACTGAGTGGAACATTATTGGGTTATATGAAATGTGGGCAGGAGAATCAGTAAATGAAGAGACCGTTCAACAACCATATACCAACTAATTGCTAATAGTTCTTGGTCGACAGGTAAGCCACCTGTCTCTAGATTTCTTCCTGCGCTTCACTTCTGCCACTTTACCATCTGGCATCCTTTTTTAAAAATGTTTGCGACTATGGGTGATCTTCCTAAAATTGATGTATCTGTTGATTTGTATGAATTCTTCATCCAGCATTGTCTATAACTGGAGTTTATATAGTCAAATAGAAGTTTGATTAGCAAAAAAATTCCAGGACTTGGCTACACCAGGACTCCTACAAGCTTTGTAGAACTGGATATAATACGTCCATTGTAAATAACCAAAATATGGTTAGAAAAAACCTGCAAGAAATGATCTAGTTAAATTATATGCAAGAAATGATCTAAATAAGTTCTATGTAAGAAATGATCTAAATAAGTTATATGTAAGAAATGATCTAGTTAAACTATGTGAAATAAATGCTCTAGTTAAGTTACATGTAAACAATGATCTAGTTAAGTTACATGTAAACAATGATCTCTTCTTCTTCTTCTATATCTGAAGGGCCCACGATCAATTTATTGATCATTTTGGCTCCTATGCATGTAGATGGGATTTGCAATGTTTCTGTTCCTGGTGTTGATGAGGAAATTTCACAGATTTCCAGTGCCACTTTGTGAGGGAATCATGCACTGGGGGTTTGAAGGCTTGAGGCAATAGACACAAATGTGTCTAGTGTTGTCGCCTCAACCGTTCCTTTTGAAAGATTGTTCCAGTCCCTGATTGTCTTGGGCAGGAATGAGCAGCTCCTATACTGGCTTCTTGCTGGTATGAGCCTGAATTGCCTGTCATGGCCTCGTCGCTGTCTATGGGGGAGAGGTACGAGTTTCTGTTTAATACTGGAACAGTGGACCAGCCCATTATTTATCTTGTACATCATGGAGAGCCTGGATTGTCGTCGTCGTTTCTCCAATGGTGACCAGCCTAGTGTTTCTAGCATGCTGCCAACACTTGAGGTATTCCTGTAGCGGTTTAGGACAAAGCGTGCTGCTCGTCGCTGGACCGCCTCCAACCTGTCAATGCTCTTCTGGGTAAATGGGTCCCAGACTGAAGATGCATAATCTAAAATCGGACGGATAAAGGCTTTATATGCTCTTTCTTTCACACAGGAGTTGCCAATCTTTAGATTTCGCCTTAAGAACCCTAGGGTCTTGTTTGCTTGGTTACATACATTGTTAATATGTTCATCCCATCGGACCTCTCTTTGAATGGTAACACCCAGGTACTTTACGGAGGAAACTTGCTCAAGAATATGGCCGTGCAGTTTGTATTGGTAGTGTAGAGGAGTACAACTTCTAGAGATTGATAGTGTCTGGCACTTGGCAGGGTGAAATTCCATGTCCCAGCTCATCTCCCACTCAGCTAACAGATTGAGATCCTGTTGTAGCTGGTCCTGGTCAGATCTGTTGGCGATCGTCCTATACACTGCTGTGTCATCTGCAAACAGTCTTGCCTGTGATGTCAGTTTCTCCGGTAGGTCATTAATGTATGCTAGGAACAATTAAGTTACATGTAAACAATGATCTAGTTAAGTTACATGTAAACAATGATCTAGTTAAGTTGTGAATATCATGACCAAGACACAGGATCTCACAAGTTAAAATAGGTCACAATTAATTTATTTGTCTTTTCTATGTGCAGTCCTTCCTTCAGATGGCTCAGTGGTTGTGTTATCATTTTGTGGTTGTCTTTTACTGTTGTTTTTTTTTTAATTTGCTTTTTATTTTTCTTTTTTAAATATTTGTATTTGACTATCATATTGAATTTTTTTTTTTTTTTAATTGTTAACTTATTTCATAAAAGTGGTTATAAAACATGCCCACCGGTAAGAATATTTATGAATATGGTTAAAATTTTCATGTAGAATGTAATAAAAAAAAAATAATTTAATTTATGTGGATCAATAAAATAATCTTGTTATCTTAAAGTCATGTGATATGTCATTTATTGTAATTTATCAATGACAGTGATAGCTGGGTGGCCGAGCGGTCTAAACTGTCTCAAACGAAATAGCTGGAGTTCAATCCCCACCAAAGCCATCCCAAGCAACCCGAGTGGATGGGACTCTTTAGCCTTGGACGGCAACCCATCTAAGAGAAGGCAAACTCTGAATTTAAACCAGGAGCCAGAATGATCAACAAATTGATCGTGGGCACCTCAAATATAAGAAGACAGTGGTTAAACTCATTCATATCAATATATTCAAATGATGAAATAAAAATGTGTTTGTGTGAGTGTATGGGTACACATATATTACACAATTGCTTGCAACAGATCATTGTGTTGATATACATGTATTAGAGAATCCCTTGCAACAGTCGTCCTTTACTGGAATTTAGGCTCTTACAAATGTGGATATAGCTTAGTAAAAGATTATGCCATAGCTCAGTAAAAGACTATGCCATAGCTTAGTAAAAGACAATGCCATAGCTTAGTAAAAGACTATGCCATAGCTTAGTAAAAGATTATGCCATAGCTTAGTAAAAGACTATGCCATAGATAGTAACAGATAATGCCATAGCTTAGTAAAAGATTATGCCATAGCTTTGTAAAAGATTATGCCATAGCTTTGTAAAAGATTATGCCATAGCTTAGTAAAAGATTATGCCATAGCTTAGTAAAAGATTATGCCATAGCTTTGTAAAAGATTATGCCATAGCTTAGTAAAAGATTATGTATCACTGAGATAACCTTATATCAGCTGTTTAATGGTTACTTTTTCAGCCAATGCTTGGTACTAAAAGTTTATTTAGCACTAAGAGGACCTAAGATAAGCTGTTTAATGGTTATTTTTTCAGCCATCTCATGTTGATCTGTTAAAGTTTGTCTGGTTTAGTTTCTGAGTTCCGTTGTTTGTTCATACATTTTGCTTACTTCTGTAAGTTTAGTTTTTTTTGCTTTAGTTTCTGATGTTCAGTTGTTTGGTCAATACATTTGGTGTGCTTCTGTTAAGTTTGTTTTGGCTTAGTTACTAATGTTCTATAAGTTCTGTTGTTTGGTCAATACATTTTGTGTATTTCTGTTAAGTTTGTTTTGGCTTAGTTACTAATGTTCTATAAGTTCTGTTGTTTGGTCAATACATTTTGTGTATTTCTGTTAAGTTTGTTTTGGCTTAGTTACTAATGTTCTATAAGTTCTGTTGTTTGGTCAATACATTTTGTGTAAGTTTCATGACAAGTCACTAAGTCAGGTAGATAAGATAAACATTAATCTTTTAGACCAGTGCTTCTCAAAACTTTTTGCTCTCCCAGTCCACTTTTCATGATGGAATAACTCTACTTTGTTGAACCTTTTAGCTGAATGGAAGAATAAAAACCACACACATTTATTTTAACACAATCTAAGGAAGAAATGTGTTTTAGAAACACTGATTTAGATAATGTTTTGAGAGTAGGATATCGCTGAAACTTGACCTTGATTTATAGGGAAATAATACTTATGACGTCATGAAAGGAAACTGTGCCATTAATCGTTGGCTGATTTGGTTACAACAAACAAAAGAGACAAAAAAGATTTCATGAAACATACAATAAAACAAACATTTAGAAAATGTGTTGAGATGTTATTTGTATACTCATGCCATGTTTGTTAGTCACAGCTGAGCTCTGCAGAGCTTCCGGGTGGGTAGTTTAAGCTTGAAAGGGGGGGTGGGGTTGGTTGTGTTATAGCCAGAGTCAACGTTAACTGGAGTCGAGGCAACTAATATTGGCATTTGCAATTATTTTGTCCAATTTCTAGGTCTTACTGTTCAGTCCAACTACCAGGCCCTAATGTGCAATACAATCGCTAGCCCCAAATGTTCTGTCCAACTACAAGGCCCAA